TTGTGGCCTTATTATCTTGGAGAAGTATTGTTTCCTCCTCATATTAAAGACTACCTATTTGGAGACTTCAAATATTATATGTGATATAGTCATAGGGATTCGAAGTTGAAGGGACAGTCTCTAGTCCGGCTCTCTCCTTTATGTATGAGGAAATATTACTAGAGATGGTTACACAACTTTTCAAAGGTTATACAGATAGTTAAGAATGCACCTAAAATCTGGGTTTTTAGATCAAGTTTAATCTTGATTAAATCTTGGTTTAATCTACCAGCACCATGTGTCTCATTTTTATCTTCAAGCTAATGATGACAAATAAATTTTCACTCACAAAGAGACTGTCTATTTTCATACATGGCTATGGATTTATACTATACAATTATAATGAAAAGGTTTAATATATTTCTACATTTTGAAAAAATATTATAATTTTGAGAGTATTAAAAAGCAATTCTTTTCACTGTTGGAAATAGTAATATAGGTAAACAAAAAGATTAAAACATAGCCATAATCCCATTGTTCAAATATACATACACATATACACACACACATAATATACACATACATATTTATTATGTCTATGTATGTCCTTCTGTACTGTTCTATAAACAAGTACATATATGTTTCAACTAAAAGTTAGATTTAAACTGCACAGTTTTTGTAATTTGTGTTGTTCATTTAGGTTATAGCATATTTCTCTACTAAAATTTATCTATGACATAGTTTTTGTTGGCTGAATTTTATTTTATACTTTTACCAAAATGGTTTAATTAATTCTACTTTGACATCATATTAATGATGAAAAAGGAAAGTTAGGCAGTTGCTTAATAGCAGGGGGCAATTGAGAGTAAGAGAAAAAATTGGTAGTGTGCTGTTTCTTTCCTCATTCTTAGGTCATTATGTGCCAGCAAAGGGCATCAGATGATTAAAGGAAGACATCCCTAGATAACAGTGTATTTACTTGGGTCCTGATGGGAGAAGAAGTGGAGTGTTCAGTTGATGAAACATCAAATAATAAACTTGGAAACATGGATTCTGTAAATGGCAACAAGTGGAGTACATTATGGAGTTCAAATGACTGAGGATAAAATATCCAAGAGAGAGCCTTTGGTCAAAGAGAGTAAGACTCCAAGCCTTCTAAGACATAGAGTAGACCTATGCATCACTGAGTTTGGACACGGTTCTTGGTTTATATATGCCTTTATAAATTTAATATTGGGTTATAAATGTATGTGTTTGAAATATGCATGCATATCCCTTTCTATAATTGTTTTCTGAGACTCCAGCAAAGAGTGACTGACATATATTCCCAAGTGTTGGGGGCTGGGGACAATGCTACTAGCACATAAGCTACTCTAAGAGAGTGACTTATCTAAGGTCTCATGACAGAACGTTCTGCATAGGTTGGAACTCTAAATGTAAAGAGTTCACAAAATTTCCAGTCTATAAGAGAAGAACAGATAACAATGTAAAGTTATATGGGAATATGAAGGAGTCAAGTCAGAGCTACATTATTTCTTGTCTTTCTTTGAACCTAATTTTTTCATTTCCATCCATCACAGTTTTATAGTTGAACAAAAACATCTGTATGAAGGATATTTGGAAGTTTCCCAACTCATACTGTGGTTTCCTTTCTTGCATGCACTTCTAGAGCTGTGTGTGAACTCTTTTGAATCCAACATCCAAAACATATATACAACATGTATATATTTTCTTTATAAGATGTGTTATCACCTAGTAGTGCACTCCTTACTTCTTTTTTGCAATACTAATAGCACATTATTGAGAACACTAGTAATGCTTCTTGGATCCTGCTGGGTGTAACCACAGGGTCTGCCTTTGCTCCTCGTATCTGTCTTGTGTACAGCCTGTCACAGTGCGAGTGAACAGGGAAGCCAAGTGCCAAAGGCCCTATTTGGGGACAGGTTCATTGTGAATGTCCTGCCAACCATGCTGGTCTTTAGGAATTAGAGCACGGGTGGACTGTCAGGTCTGCGCCTAGCATGCTGACAGGTGGAAAGCACTGGAGAAGAATTGGCAGTTTGTATCTTTCAGGAGGCAAAGGCATGAAGTGCCTTATTCTCTTAGGTGGGGGCACTTTCTATTTCTAAAAGACCAAGGTAGAAATAATAATAATCCTGAACAGAATACTATAGTTTACCCACCTCTGACATTCTTCTTTGAGTTTCAAATTCAAATTTGTCTTTTGTTGTCTGAGAATAAAATTCCATGACTATTTTATAGAAATATACAATAAATCACAGCTACAGATTAGCTATACCAACTAATTGGGACATTTACTTTTTTGAAAAAGCTCACTTGCCCTTCATCATTTCTCAGACCAGATAAAGACAGACAGCGCTTCAAAAACAGCACTATTGAAATAGTATTCACACCTTTCCACTAGATAGTTCACACACTTTAATTCCTGCTAAAAAGAAAAAATCTTAATTAAGTTGCATGATTTATTAGCTCATGTTAGATGTTGAGAAAAGCGATTTGGAAAACCTGTGCATTCTGTGTAAGATCAAGCCAGCTGTCTCTGAGTAAAGACTTTTGGTCTTGTGCAAATTTTGCAAATTACTGAATTGCTAATGGGCTCCTTGTTGGATGTTCTTATACTCTTAATAGACTCTACATCACTTGTAGAAAAAAGTGGTGTTCTAAAGGAAGAAAAGGTAATGGCTATATCATTAAACAAATTAACAGAGTCAATAATGATATTTTATTTGATGCTAACAGATTCTGCTACATTTTTATAACAATCTGTAAAGGTATTTTATAACAGTCTACTTCTAATTTTACTTTCTCTGAAACCAATTGTCAAATATATTTATTTCCATGCATTCAGACCTTTTACAAAGACACATCTTCTGTGATCGCCTTTAAGAACACAACCTTAATTCAGACTTTCTACACTGTCTGGTTTATGGTGATATTAAACTGAGGTGATTTTATTTATTGAAATCAATATGGGGAAAACTCACTGGTCTATAATTTAAGATTATTTGACTGCTCACTGGCAAATGATTAGGTAGCACAATCATTTACTGGGCCTCAATCTGCAGTTTTTTGAAATTCTTTTACATACTCTATGATAGAAGAGAGTAGAGAAATGAGAGAAAAATAGCAGCAAGTACCAGACAACTGAGCCATTTTGAAATTTTTTAGTTACATGTATAAGTTAAAATGCCTTCAGAGAGATTGGGAGAAAGCTGACTACCAGAATCATTCAAAATATTTCATATTTGTGTATAGACACACACAGACACACGTGTGTGCATGCACACGCACTCACACACACATACACACATTTCTGGTAATGAACTCATCAGGGAGCTCCTCCCTAATTTAGGCTCAAGCTTGCAAAGAAGTCAATTGTTTTTTTCTTTTTCCTGACATTATTACATCAAAACAGTATCCAGGCATTAGACAGTATTTATTAGCTTGTAAGGCCAGAGATAATGATCCCATTCAATCAGAACACATGAATAATTCAATAGTCCCAACTTCACATAATTTCTGGCTCTACTTTTAAAACCAGAAAAAGAACCATTTGTATCATTTATTTATTTTTGGATACAATGGGTAAAAGATAAAGGAGAATTCAGTGTGTGTGTGTGTGTGTGTGTGTGTGTGTGTGTATGCGTTTCCAAGAAAGAGAGCCTCTTGGCCCTTTCATTTCAAATTGGTTAAAGACAGTGCCAAAAAAACATGTATATGTACATAAATATGAAAAAGCATGATTTTACTAGGGGCACATACAGTAATTACCTCTATGAATTATTTCTACATAAATTTGTTGAGGGTATTTTAATCACTCTAAATGGTTTCATATTATTTTACACACTACTGCTAGGAAACAATTATAGTTTCTGCAAGACCATTGAAGCTATAATTTCAGGGGTCATTTCTGCAATGTGCAATTTGAAAAGTACATTTGAAAGAGGATGAACTGTTTTAAACACCAAGGAGAAGTTGAAATAATCTTATGACAGAAAATATTACTGTTTCTCATTTTCTAACATGAACAATGAGAAACAATGGACAAGAGCACCAGTTTTCCCTCTAAAGCAGCTCTGTACTGTAGAACTTTCTACAATGTATAATATCAAGACATTCCAATATGGAAGTCATTAGCCACATGTGGCTATTGAACACTTGAAATGTGGCTACTGCCACTAAGGAAATGAATTTTAATTCTTATTTATTTTTAATTAATTTAAATTTAAACAGCCACATGTGAATAATGGCTCCCTGTCGGACATCACAGCCCTTAAGTCCTCAAGGAGAATGGCTAATACATTGTAAATACTAACAGGTAGATATTTATTATTAAGATATTTTATCCTTCTTTTAAGTTTACAATTTCAAAATTCTTACTTTCTTATTACAGACTATCCAGATATTGTGATTAATCCATCTTGTACTTTATTTTGAGAGTTAATTTCACATTTTGTGAAGCACTGCTTCAATTGCTGCTTTTGCTAAGGTATACTATATAATGATATATTATAATAAATGAAATACAATGTAGCCATGAGAATGTATAAAAGGAAGAAACAGATAAATTGGATGAGAGAACACTGCTTTTTTTTTTTTTAATTTTTTATTGCATTTTAGGTTTTGGGGTACATGAGCAGAACATGCAAGACAGTTGCGTAGGTACACACATGGCAGTGTGTTTTGCTTCCTCTCTTCCCTTCACCCACATTTGGCATTTCTTCCCAGGCTATCCCTTTTCCCCCCAATAGACCCCAGTGTTTAGTACTCCCCTCCCTGTGTCCATGTGTGAGAGAACACTGTTATTTACATCTCAGTGGCTTAACAATGTGATTGTATTAATAATTTAAAAGACTTTGGGAAGAAACTTTCTTTGGGAAATATTTTCTAAAACAATACCCAGTTTTCAATAAGGTAATTAGCTTTTCTAAAAATATAAAATAGTTACAGGAATTGTAAAAGTGTTGATTGACATTATTTTCTTTTTCTTGCTCTTGCAGTGGGTCTTTCCTCTCCTACATCCTGAATATTATAAAGAAGAAGAGTAATCCATAAAATTAAAAGTTAAAGGACAAGGGTAAGTGAGGTTAATCGATATACCCCTCAGGTTTATTTAAAATTTGCAAACAGCTACCATATGCCTTGTTACAATCAGTTGTCCCATAGAAGGAAGGTCATTATCAAATTCCAAGATACAGATGCTTTGTTAATTTCCAAATACAGTCCAAGTGTGTGCTTACGCATTCATTCTGGCCATTAATTAAGGGCCACTTGGAAAGACTTTAAGCTCTTAAACTGGATTAGTGAAACTGATCAAAAGGACTAATTGAGTTTTGTAAATTGAGTTTTACATTATAGGGGGTGGACTTTGAAAAGAACTTCCTAAATTAGACATTACTGATTTCCTCATCACAGCCTTAAAATGAAGGTTGTCATTAAGAGGATTGGAGGAGAATCATAGACTGAATGTTGATACTATCTGCACAGTAGATGAAATGTGATGTAACAGCAATCAGTGACAGAACACCAAAATCTGATAATACTTCATGATCTGGAAGTTCAGTTTGACACTGAAAGTTGCTTTCCCTGTAATAGTTACTGATTTAGAACAAATTATCATAGCTATTCTCAAGAGACACTAAAAATATTTTTATTAGGCCTACATTGATGGATTTCTGAGTTAAATAATTGGAATGTTGTTAGACACAAGCATGATGCTTATATAGATTTTCTACTATTGTTGTATTTCATGAAGAAGCCACTTTTTGGGTTTCAATTTTGTATGTTATTTCTAATTCTCAGAAAATCATGCAGACTGTGTATTCCTATTTTATGGTGACTTACACCTGTAATGCCAGCACTTTGGGAGGCCGAGCCAGGCGGATCACATAAATCAGGAGTTTGAGACCAGTCTGAGCAACATGGTGAAACCGTCTCCACTAAAAATAGAAAAATTAGCATTGCATGCTGGTGTGTGCCTGTAATCCCAGCTACTCAGGAGATTGAGGCAGGAGAATCCCTTGAACCCCAGAGAAGGAGGTTGCGGTGAGCTGATATTGTGCCACTGCACTCTACCTGGATGACAGAGTGAGGCTCCATCTCAAAAAAAAAAGAAAAAAAAAGTGAGCAAAAAGGGTTTAAAAGGGATAAATTTCTTTATGGTTTCATGGGCAGTGGGTGCTCAAACTACAAGTGTATCTTCAACCATTCAGATTAAAAGCACTTACTTATCTTCAACACCATGTTATTTCTCTGATCTTCAATATAAGCACACAATATTTAAGTCTGTCTACAAAACATTAATTTACAAAAATAGGTCATATTAACAGTTTCCAGGGGTTAACACGTGAACATATTTTTCAGAGGTCATCATTCAACCCACTACATTCAATAAGGCCTATTTTCTGTTTAATCTCATTGTCCCATGTAAGTAGTCCAGTACTGAAAATATTCCTCATTAAAATGTAATTAACTCAAGGGCGGGGGATAGTTAAAAAATGTAATTAATTCATAATAATTTACAAAAACAAAAAACAGAAAGGCAAACTGTATATCTACGTAGGAGATAGTATGTTTAGTGGTAAATGATGCAGATCTGAATGTTGGACTCACTGCCTGGGTTACAATCCCACTCACAGGATCTGTGTCTGAGGACAATTCCTGAACATCTGTCTTTACTTTTCTCAGGTGCATAACAAGATAAGTATCCTCCTCATAAGGTTGTTGTAAAGATTAAATGAAAAAAACCCAGGTCAAGAATTTAACATAGTGCTGACCATGAAATAAGTGCTAAGTAATGCTGAACAACAGTATATGCTTCCCTGCAGCATTCCTTGAAGTTTCTTAGGCATAGTGTATCTATTCATCCATCCGTCCATCCATCCATATTTCATTGACCTATTTATTTGCTTGTTTATTTTACTAAAAATTATTATAAATAAATCACAGTCCCAGAAATAAGAAGGCTTTCTTTCTCAGAAGTCATCTTCATGGACATTAACAAGTAAAATGACCATTTTTTTAACCTATAGATATTCTAAATATCCAGTCATCCACTCACTATTTATTAGGCACTATTATTTCTGGTCTCAAGAGTGAAACAAAATACCAAAAGATGATTTGGAAAATTTCAGCTGTCAAATAATTTACACTCTATTCAGTGAGAGAAATGAGTTATATGATACTGAGAGCATAATTGGTGATTTAAAAATGTAATATGAGACAGTGATGGAAACAGAATGAAATGCAGAGAACAAGCAGTTTAGGAGCATGAGGGTAAATAAAGATCAGAAGACCTTTACTCAAATGACAGCATATTCTAGAGGAAAGGTCATAGATAGAGAAGTCTGGGAAAAGTCAGGAATGAATCTCATTGTTGCCACTAATGAATGATTTTCTTTTTCTTAAACCCTAGCATCCTCATCTATAAAATTATATAATATCTATATCACTGAATTATTGGGATTATTGAAATAATGCATAAAATTATTGAAATAATGCATATAAAATAATGTCTGGGACCCAGCCCAAGATAAACAAATATTAGCTATTTAGTTGCTGTTATAATCACTATTAGTCAATTTCCTAGTACACAGCAGAAGTTTAAATAGTTTCCTTCTTTTTCCTGGATGGCAATTTCCATTTCAGAACCATTTCACTAAGGAAGCCCTTTGTACCTGCACATTTTTCTATAGTCTATGATAGTAACATATATCTGTTGAAATAATGTCTTCTTCTCTATGCTATAATAATCTCCCTGAAAATTGGAAAGATATCCTATTCATATGTGTTGTCCTAGCATACAATAAAATGCTCAACAGTTAGTTAGTAAATGTTTCTTGAACTAATATGATGTCAGGCACACCTTCCTCCCCTCCATCCCCCAAAATCTAATAGCTGTATTCATGCCTTCTAAGATAAAGAAAAATTCCATTTACATGGCTTTAGATTAGAGCTTAATACAAGTCCCCTTTAGAATAATTGTATTAGTTTTCTGTTCCTATATATTAAATTCTCATAAACTGATGGATTTGAAACAACACATATTTCTTATCTGATATTTGGGGTATGGCTTAGCTAGGTTCTTTCCTTGTCCTGATGTATCTATTAGTTGATCTATTATAATAGAGCCATCATTAGAAAAACAATTCATCATAATAGAAGAGTTATATTGTGTGTTATAAATTACTATAATGATACACTGCACCTGATAGTTATTAATTTAGTGCCATCTGATTTATCATAATATTTAACCATTCTGTATTTGAAGAGAGACAAATACAAGTTCATTTGCTTGGTTTCTGAGAAATGGCAAACAAAATATGCTCAAAAATCATAATGAGAACTTCTAAGTTACTGTATTTTCTGGATCAGAGTCTGTGATTATCTAGATAAGGTAGTTAAATTTCTTAACTTTATTTTTATTAAAGTCAGGTGATGTTTTATTACATCATGATGGTTATTAATCTGGGTTGTGATATCCGCCTGTGTTATCACATAGACTGTCTGCTTGATTTGGCCAATCTGGCTACCTGAGTAAGTGGCCTCTTCCCTCATCACGGTCCCTTACAGGCCTCTTTAAAGCCTGCAGTCTAATGAAAAAATAAACCTTCGCAGCTTGACGAGGACTTTGCTAATTGTTGGGCTTTCTTTATGGAACTTCCAAATCAGGGCTCCATTCAAATGACTTCAGGAGCCAGAATGATGGAGTTACAGAGTAAAAATTTATCCTGTCAGACAATTAAGCAAAACACACACATCATCCACAAGGAAAAAATATTATTCATGCTCAGTGAATTATTCCTACTCAGGAATTTGGGCCTAATGGTGTCCATGAACTATGACTAGGGAAGTGTCTATGACTTTTGAAATTTAATTACCCATAAAGAGATTAATTTTTAAAATGCTTAAATTCCATTGGCCAGGCATGGTGGCTCATGCCTGTAATCTCAGAATGTTGGGAGATGGGTGGATTACCTGAGTTCAGGAGTTTGAGCCCAGCATGACCAACACGGTGAAACACTGTCTCTACTAAAAATACAAAAATTATGCAGGCATTTTGATGCATACCTGTAATCCCAGCTACTCCAGAAGCTGAGGCAAGAGAATCGCTCTAACCCAGGAGGCGGAGGTTGCAGGGAGTCAAGATCCTGTCACTGCACTCCAGCCTGGGGACAGAGCAAGACTTCATCTCAAAAACAAATACATAAATAAAAGGCTTAAATTCCATTATTTTTCTTATACATTTTATATTTCATTTAGCAAATAAAATTATTTATCACTGTATGCTAAGTTCATCAATCATTCAATAATTATTTCCCGTAAATATTTTTAAATGCACAATGTAATTATATATAATACATTGTGTATAAATACTTGAAAAAGGATGCCTGCAGTGAACTATTATCCCCATTCTGGAAATTTGGGCTTTCATTAGAGGAAAGTTTTAAGTGGAAAGAGTTTTGGAAGCTGCTGTGTCATTTTGACTATTTGGAGTGGTGAAAAAAATGTCTGGGGTGTCCTCTATTGTTCACTCAGCCACCACTGAGCACCTATTGTGTGTATAGTGGTGATCTAGACATTGGAGATACCACCGAAGTGCCTGACTTAATCAAGTCCATTAGTGGAATGGAGAATGATGAGCAGACAATAAACAATGTTAGATAGTGACAAGTGCTATGTCAAAAAGAAAAAAAAAAAAGACAAAATATGAGGTTAAGAGGGTGATAATGGAGTAAGTTTAGGATTACAGCAGTGGTTCCCAACTGGAGTGATTTTACTCTCCAGTTGATATTTGACAATGTCTGTAGACATTTTTGGTTGTCACAACTGGACAGGTACTGATGATATCTAGTGGGTAGAGACCAAGAGTGCTGCCAAAGATTCTACAATGCACAGTATAGCGCTGCCCCCGCAACAAATAATTGTTTGGGATTTAGTAGTAGAGAGAGTGTGCAATGGACAAAATCTCCAAAAACATGAAGAAGTGGGACATTCACTAAGGGACAGCAAGAATGAAAGCTCCAAGCCAGGCTGTGACTGATATGATTAAAGAAAATGTTATCTTTTAAAAATATT